TCTCATCTAGTAGTGCATAGCTACTTTACTACACCTGGGCACCAGTTTTATGGCTATAGCCACAGTCATTCGGCAGTTAAATGTGTGGTACGGGACTTTAGTGGGCACCCTGTATATAATATGCAATAAAAAAGACTTTACAATATTCATTTTGTAGAACATAAATCCATAATGAAGAGCAAACTTAGCAACCAAGGCAGCTTAAGTACTCAACTTTATTTCAATTGTAGTTAAATTAAACACTTTGTGGCCACAGTTCACTAGATACCTTAATCATGCCTGTTTCAAAGTAGTTGCATTTTAAAAATTGTTGTGATAGGAAAAAAGCAGCAAGCAATGCCTTAGCAAGAACGGAATTAGAAACAAAGTGTGCAGTTATCCAGTGTGGAAGCCTACCAAGGGAAGGTGTCGGTTTAAATTGCTTATTAGAGAAAGTTTTGATTTTTTAAGTTTTGAATTAGTTATGTCATCAGCATTATTAAGTCATATGTATGGATTATCTAGAAATGATGCAGTTGAGAGAAAATTTGATGCAGTTTAGATGGTAGAAAGGAGACATATAAAAATCTAAATAAGATATTTAAAAACTATTGCTAACTAACTCGGTAATTTATTAGAGATTTATTTCCTTATTTTATATTATATAATGAAAATTCAAAGTAAACAAGTAATTTAAAAAGCTGAATGCTTGCACTAAATTTGCCAAGTAATAAGTCAATGATTTATTATTAGAAAAGTTTTTTTTTTATATATCTCCTAGAAACATTAATTAATGTGATGGATTGCTGGAATAAATTTGAGTCAGTATTTTAAGTATAAGTAATTTAGATATCTATGATATTAAAAATATTTTAATAAGCTGTATAGGAATATTATTTTAAATTGGAAGAATTCTAAAAAGTATAATTAAAATGTAAAATTTAAAGTGCTAAAAAGGTAGCCATTGTTATTGACTGTAGATTAATTGACTTGTCAAAGGGAACAAACCAATCCATTATCAAATAACAATAACTAAATTAAGTGAGAGTGTTTTATTCCAAGTAAGGATCAAGTTGTTATTTTGCTAAAGTTAAATCATAAGCTATGAAGCAACCTCAAAAAAGAGAAAAATAATTATTCTTCTTGAACCAAAATACTTGTCATAAACAAAAGCGAAAAAATAAGTAAGATTTTTTTTTTTTTTTTTAATTTAAGGTACTTGTTAAGATTAAGTTAATTTAAGAATATGTTAAGATTGTTTAATTTAAGGTACTTTTTAAGAACTGAATTAAGTGAGATCCTAACTAGATAAAAACTTTCCCCTACACTCTCACAGTATAGTGAAAAAAATTTTTTTTTAATATTGATACTTGTACGAATTAGTATAAAATAATTGAAATATGTACAAAAGAAGATATTTGAAAACAATGGAAATATGAAGAAATTAATACATTCTTTTAGATTTAATTACAAAATCAAAAGTAGGCATTTAAGTATAAAGTTAGGTCCAAGTTGATGCCACAAAGGAAATTAAAATTAACTTAGTTGTTTGCAAAATTTGAAACAAAATGGCTGTAAATGTACACAGTGATGGAATGTAATAGGGTTGTCGTATTTAGTGGGAGAAGGTAGCAGTTGCTGACATATTATACTTTATTTGAGATATTGAAGCCATAAAGCTGTTGTTAGAAATTAGTTTCTTCTTTTTTAAAAAAAAATGTTAATCAAACAGAAGAAATTAATTTATTTTTGGCTAATGGTCTGAAAAGCATAAAGAAGAAGGTATCTTTATAAGGTATTCTCCCACTTCCCTAGCATGCCTTCGTGGTGTAACGGTAGCACACTGGGCCGGTATTCCAGAGGTCCGTGGTTCAATTCCCAGCGAAGGCCATTGCATATTTTTCATCTTTTCGGCTTCCAATTAACCTAATGACTCTACATATTCATTGGTAAAGGGCTATTTACTAGACTGAGAATGATGAAATAGGCCCATGAGTTAGTAAAAGAATAGAATGTCAGAAAAAACTTGCAATTTACATTATATATAAAAATTAATTACAAAATTTACAAATCTTTAACTAACAGAAATCCAACTTATTCTGCCTTTTTCAGGTTTAGGAATAAATTATCATAACCCTGTTAGTCAACAGACTGAAATTGAGTATTTAACGTCTGCTTTTTTAAGACAGAAATTAATAAATTTATCGGGTACTAAAATTATTTTTAAGAACTTGAATAAGTATTAATATTTTGTTTTGAATATCTAGTGTATCGATAGAAATACTTTTGATTCTTTGTATTTGACTAATGACTGTGTTACTAATTATTTTTCTGGAAATATTTGAGTCCAATTAATTGATTTATTATTTGCAAATTTGAAGTTCATGATTTTGTCATAGAGTTTAATCTGTGTGTAGTTAATTATTTGAAGATCTTGAAATTCGATAATGTTTTGTGAAAAATTAGTTTTATTAAGAATAAGGCTTTGTGAATTTGGGAATTTTCTATTTTGTTAAAATTATTAAAAGGGATGAGATCATCAATGTATCTGAAAGTATGTGCATAACAAATTAAATCTTTTTGTTATAGTATTTTTTTTAAATTTAAATTCTTGAATAAACGAAAAGATGTTACAAATACAAGTGAATGTGTGAGCTCCCATTAATATACCTGTTGTTTGTTTAAAAAGTTGATTGTCAAATTTAATGTAATTATTAAAAATAGTGCAGTAAAGAAAGTTCTTCCATTCATTAAAGTCTAAAATAGTGGGAATTGTAGGAAAGGGTTCCGGAAGTTAATGAAGGCTAGTAAAAATTTCTTCTGAAGAGGAAGTATACAAGTTTTGAAAGTCATAGCAGTTAGTATTTTGTATGTTGATAGTCTGTAAGATGTTAATTACAGGAATGTTATTATTGATAATCCAGCAAAAATGATGATATCTGTTACAAGCAGTGAAGATTAAGTTGCAAATCTTTTTAAGTTTTACAAATGTATAGTCCATATTTTTCCTGTGATTTGCTATGAATCTGAATTTAATTGGGGTTTTATGAAATTTAGGTAGAGCATGAAAAGTTGGAGAAGTGGCATTAAAGAAATGTTGAGTTTTTTATGAAATGCATTAATTTTGTTTATTAATGAGGTCTCAGTTATGTTAGTTAGTTGGTAATATTGGCATTGTAAATTTCTGTGTGAAGAATTTGCTTGTAGCAAATATTTCAAATAATGCTAACACTATTATTTTGTGTATCTGTTTTAGTGATTGTAAATTGCATTTTTAAATTTTTAATGCTAGACAAAAATTTAGGCCAATTTAAAGTACTATTAAATTTTAAGAATTTAATTTTAGTGTTTATTTGTTGAAGTACTTCCATTTCAAAAAAGCAGTATTTGGTAAACTAAGTCAAATGTTAGTTTTGACTATAAATTTGTTGATGTTATTTTCTGTATTTTTGTAGCTAAAACTTTTGTTGACATATCTGACAGGTTTGTATTTTGTTCCATATTTCATTAGTGTTTTAAGTTGTAAGTTTTCAATGATATCCAAGTTTCCTGTTATTTGTTGGTGGTGAGAATCACCATAGGGAAGGAATTGTGTCAGTTTGCAATGTCATTCTACTGGTTCATTTAATTCATGGTGATTAGTAAGCAAACTGCTTAAGGTTTTTTTATATTTAAATGCTATAACTGGTTTGTTATCAGTTGCCAGACATTTGTTGAGAATCTGAGAAAAGTGTAATTGGTCAAATTGTGGGTGCAGACTGACTCAGATTTATTCCAGTAATTCCTCACATTAATTAAATTTATTTTCCTTGGAGATTATATATATAAAAAACTTTTCTAATAATAAAATATATATGTATAAGTAAATAAAGTAATTATTAGTAATAAATTGCCTAATACTTGCACTAAGCTTCGAAGTAATAAGATAATAATTTTTTTTCTAGTAAATTATTGAATATAGCAGTATCTCCTTTGGAAAAAAAAGTAGTTAGAATTCTATTGAAATGAATTTACTCGTTAGCATATTAAAAATGGAATAATTAAAAACTTAGTATTTATTATTAATTGTTATTAGTGCAACCAGCAAACTAAGTAAATATCATCATTGACCAGAAATTAGTTGACTTTTCAAGGGGAACAAACTAGCTTCTGATCAGTTAGCAGAAATTAATAGATGCTGAAGTGTTTCGTCTTTTTCTCAAATAAGAAGCGAGACTGAAAAAAGCTGTTTCTTATGACTGAGCTAAAACTATGTAAGAAAATAAAACTCACTCTTATGGGAATTCTATGTTCTGATTTGAAGATTGCATTTAAAGTTTGACAGTACTGTCAATTTCTTCCTGATTTTTAACCAACAATTTGAATAATTTTAACTCAATCTTACTAAACAGCCTTTTTAAATTATTGTAAATTGATTAGAAGTTAGTTTGTTCCCCTTGAAAAGTCAACTAATTTCCGGTCAATGACATAATTACTTAGTTTATTGGTTGCATTTAATTATTCAATTTTAATAACTCCATTTTTAATACACTAATGAAGGAACTCATTTCAATAAAATTCTAACTACTTTTTCCCAAATATATTCCATAATCTACCAGAAACTAAATGTTTAACTCAAAAGAATGATTTCCTATATAAATCAATTTCAGAATTTTAGTTAATTGTTGATATTTGGCATGCTGAAATTCGTTGACTATATTTAATTCTTGAAATATTCTTGAACATGCTTGTCAGGTTCCAGCATTTTTCATGTTTATGTAATGTACTTTGTTAATGTTTATGTAATGTTTTCTTAACATGTTTTATTCCTCATAACTTGTACTAACAAACTGGTGTTGATTATCCCACTCTGTCTTGTATCCCAGGTGATAAATCACATTTGTAATGCTTATGCTCTTTCAGTTTTTTTCAACCCCAAGATTATTTGTGTTCATATATATATATATATATATATATATATTATAAAAATGTTAACTATAAAAATATCAGCATATCAATTTTAGTTATTCGTATTTTGATAGAAATTTGGAGCAGTTGAAGGTAAAAGTTTCAAATATTTAAGAGAAGCTGCTGAAAAGTCAAAGCAGAACACAGGCCATTATACTCCTCCAGGTGGTGAAACAGTACAGCAGGTTAGCATATTTAAGTATTCATGTGTTTGAAAAATTCTTCAGTAATAATGTTGTTTAAATTATAAATCGATTTAACTTCAGTTTCTGTAATGTAATGTAAAACAAATCCATATTAATTTCAGAGATGTTTCTGTGGAATTCTCTAATTAGAGTTTCACTCTGCATATGATGTGTGCTTTATTGGATGAAAATGCCCTTTTATTCTAATCTGCATTTGCGGAAAGTAAAATCAAAATATTCTGAAAAGATCAATTTGAAATTAGTATTATGTATTAATTGACTAAAGTAAAAGAAGCGTATAAATGTTGCAGGATCTTTAAATGAAAGTTTAATGTGCTTGCTTTATATTGAGGCCTTGGTAAAAAGTATTATTAATTTTCCTGGTCTTTGCTTTTATTCTCCTTTGTGTTACTTACTCGTAGCCACATTTTAACTTTTTAAATTGGAAAAACTTGATCAGAATAAAGAAATAAAGAAATCTGTTTAAAAAGCTGAAAGTAAATCACTAAAAAATATGATTGACATAAATATAATTGCAGGAAAATATTTGTTCTGAATCATTAGTATCGATCCCAGAAATAGTTTATGAGATCAAAATTCCGTTTATTCGTTTGTGTTAATTTTAACTGTACTAAGTGTGTGTATGAAAGAGAGAGTATGAGTGAGTGAGTGATTTACGGAAGCTGGAAACCTCATTATATGCTCATCTTGCTGTGATTTTTGTTTTTATTTTAGTTAATTGCATTGAGAGCTTTAGCATGATTAACACAATAAAATAAACTGATATTACTGTTGGAATCCATAGCTGTTATGGTCAGAATTGTTGCTGCTTGTAAATTTGACCAAGGACTATCCGCTTTTGTGTCTGAAAAATGATTTAAAAATGAGAATCTTACCTAAAAGGAATGGCTGGTTGGTTTATTGGTAGGGAGAAACTTTCGTTTTATTATTCTTGGATTTTTTTTTTTTTTTTTTTTTTTGTGGTGTGATTATCTGACGCCTAGCCAAGGCTGTGGGTTTAACTCTAACTAGGCTTTGCTGTATGCATGTCTCTTTACCCCCAACTGGTGTAGTTGTGCTTGGTGTAGGTGTAATATTGTTGCTGGTGAAAAAGCTAAATGATCAATGTGTTCGGTAGTTTGTAATGAATGTTTTTTAGAGTTTGGCTTTTGGAAAAGAAACATCTTTTTCATAAATAATTTCTCTCTTTAAATTGGTGAAGTTATTTGTTGCTGAAAGAAGTTATATACTGGGTCTCCAGGAAATAGCTTTTGATGCATTATGCAATGAGTTGGAGAAGCATGTCAACAGCATTTATGTCATTGGTCAGAAAAGCACTTCTAAAATTGTAAATGTCTAGGAGGCAGAGTGAGAAAGGATGTGATATTGTGAGAACAAATAAAAACCATATAATGAATCAAAAATATAACTCCTGGTATAAGGATATATTATATAATCAATTTTCTTGAAGTTGTACTGTTAATCGTACATGTCTTGAACATAATCACATACCTCATTATAAGGGAAAACTGTATCGTACTAAGAGTGATTCCATTGATGAAGGTTATCTCTTGTATTTAATTTTGAAACAAATCCCATTAATGATCTTGTGGTTCTTATTTACTTGTTCAAAGATAGCAAAATATAACAAGAGACTTGCCTGTTGCAAAAGCTGTCAACATACAGAATGAGGACAAAACAATCTGGTAAACAACAGTTACCAAAATCTCTATCCATTTTGTAAATGCCCGCATTGTAATATTCACTACTGTGGAAATTTTTTATTTTGTTAAAAATAGCTTTGTCTGTTATTTGATATGTATCTAAAAGCAAAATAAAGGTTATATTATTTCATAAATAGGGGTGTCCACTAATATTTTATAATATTTGTTGTTTGACTTCTGAATTAATATTTCATACTCAACTTTAAATATGAAAAGCTCATGAACAGTTCATTTTATGCTGTCTCTTGCCTTTTCCAACAACTGATAAAACAACTGGTAATAATCACTATTTTTTTTTTTTTTTTACTTATTCTGAAAAATAATTTTTCTGTGGCTGATAAAATGAGTGTAGTTAAAACATATGTTTATGATGTATCTCAAGGGAGAAGGCTTGTCTTGTCTCATTAGGTAGCAGAATTCAAATTTTTGAGATTGAAAAGACATTGGCTTGTATTAGGAACCCCCTGCATATGATCTTTGTATTTAGTGAATACAATATTAAGGTGTTTGCTAAAAATATTGTGACCTTTCAGTCAGTGACCCCCCCCAAAAAAAAACACAAAGCACATATATTTTAAAAGTGTAAAAGTTGAAATGTTTTAGTCTTTTATTATATTAGATATATTGTTTTAGGTTCATGAAAGAGCAGTATCTTTTTTCCATGACTTGTGTGAGATGGTCAAAGAACACAGTAAACTTGAGTCTGCCAATGGCTCTGGAATAAGTAGAGCTGATTTAAATGGTGGCAGTAGCTTAGAAAATGGAAAACAAAGTGGTCAAAAGAGAAAGAGGGAAAATGGTGAAGCTGGTAAGATTCAAAATTCTGAGTGCCAAAACAGAAGTCAAAGTAAAATATGTGTGAAAGAGTCACAGAAGAATGAAGTTAAAATTTCAGAAAATTTGAAATATGAATCTGGAAATTGTAATAATTATGAAGCTTGTAATTTCTCTGCTGAAAAGGACATTGTCGCTGCATGTGATAGAACTGATAAAGACTTCTTTTGTGTTCATAAAGACATAACCTTGAAGCAAAATGGGGACTTGAACATCCCATCCAGTGACAAAGGACAATTTCCCATTACATTCACTGATGAAATCATACGCTCACAAATTGTGTCAAGTTGCAATGACCAGCCCAATATTGAATGCCCTAATGTGTCTTTATCACCTTTAGTTGATCAAAATTTTATAGCATCAGTTTTTTCTAATCCTTCACAAGAACATTCTCGTAAGGAACTTCATCATGAAAGACGACTTTCTGTTTGTAGTTCATGTGATGATGCAGATAGTGGACTTAATCTTACAGCCAATATTCTTGTTGTAAGTCATGGTGGATGGCTTCGTGAACTCTTTCGCCACTTTGTTGAAGATTTAGAATGTTCAGTGCCTGGAGGGAAAAAACAAGCACTTCGCATAAGTCCCAATGCAGGAGTGTCAAAATTTACTGTTTCTGTTGAAGAACATGATGGACATCCAAAAATCATATGTCTTCAGATTCATGATAAGCAGCATTTAATTTCATCATCATATTCTGATAACGTTTTAAATCCAGATGAGATAGCTCTTTAAATAGTGTATTTTTTAAAATTATATTGTGAGGGAAAAAAATTATTTTGCTGCTGTTTCTGTAAAATTTGGGTATGTTGTAAATTGAGATATTTATATTGTTATTTGTAATGAAATATTGTTAATCATTTGTGTGAGTTCTGTAAATGTTTCAGATGTAAATATATTTTATTGCATCAGTATTTTGATCAAAATTAAATTCTAATCATTAATTTTTGTTACAAGTATTTTTTGCAAACATTCACATGAACTCGTGTGTATTTTTTTAAGTACATACAAATTTATATTTATTGTATTGTTGCCAGTTAAATCTCAATTTGAACATTTCCATGTTTTCTTTATCTTTTGGATTTTTTCTTATGCAAAAAATTAAAAGCTACATTCTATTCTTCAAAATAATGCAGGGTTTTCTTTAGGGCAGAATGCCTGTATTCTTAGAATTTTGTGCATATTTATATACTGGTGTAGCAATTTTTATTTTAGCATTAGTAAAACTGCAAGTATTTTTTCTGTTATCATAATTTACTTTTATTATCATGTCCATCACAAAAATTTTTAGTTCCTTTGTTTTTATATGTAAGTAAACTGTAAATGTTAAATTACTTTCCTTTTGACTATATAATATTCAACAGCTAATAACCTGGTTCATTTTCTTCTTAAAAACAAACTTCCATCAGAAATGATTATAGTTCTCAACATTCTTGGAAGCATTTGGGAAATTATTGCTAACTAAAAAAATTTGAAATTAAAAAAAAAAAAAAAAATAGTGTTTAAAATTTTGCCAGTGCTTCTTGTGCATGTGGCGAAGAAATTATCTTATGTATTATTTACTGGGAAAACACCCAAAATATATTGATACTTATTTTATATTCTACGAAGTGCCTATCTGCATGGTGAGCTTGGATGATGTGAATTTTGACAAGCATGCATAACTCTTATTGGAAGATAAAATGAAGTAATTGTATTGTAACTTGCTTTGTATAAATTTTAGCTTGTTTGATTTCTTTTGTTCATTGAAAAATGTATCATAAAAATATTGTTAATATATGTTCTCAATAAGTAATTTAATAGCAGTGCTGGAATAAAATTACTACTATTGTTAGGATTTTTCAAGCACGTAATTATGTAAATTTGCTGAAAACCTTAATAGCTTCTTGTATTTTAATGCTATAACTAAATTTCAGCTACTTGAATTTTGTATTCAGGACTTGCATTTTCTATTTTAAATTGATTGCATTCATTTTTATCAACATATTAACAACCTGTGTTATATTAGTTACCTCCCCACTAAGATATTTTTAAGTGCTTATTTATATAATTATCTGTGAAGGAAAAGGGAGAAAAATCTTTAATGGTATAATAAATTTAATTACTCATTTTAGATGACTAATTATATCTGTCGCACTGAAATGTCATTTCATGAGATTCTGTCAATATGTTGTGTTTAAAAAGTCATAAATTTTTTCATTCAATGGCTGTTTTTCAGTTATAAGAATTATACATTTTACTATGGTACATTTATCTGAGCATTTCATTCCACCTTTTCCTGTTCGTAATGAGTATGTTGTAAAAGATATTTGATACAATCATTGCTTCTATCAACATGGGATTCTCTTTGTTTTCTTTGAAATGACAGTGTACTAATTCCATCTATAGCGTCTATGAAAAAGGGCTGTCTGAGTGGCAGAACTGCATATTGGAAATTTCAAGGAAGAGCAAATAAATCTCTAATTAAAAAGGTCAGGAAAGAAAGTCTGTAGTGACTAATTTCACTCAAATTAATGTGTTACTTCAGTGGCCAAGTGGCAAGCTTTTTAGACATACAATAACTTATTAAGTGATGTAACTGTATTTCAGTTGGAAAACAGCTCTGCAGAGACATCAGTATGCAAAATGTAATAAATTTGCCTTCTCTTTAATTCAAAAGTAGTTAAAACATGTTTTTATTTTTTAAATGACATCATCATTCAGAGAGCCTAGTAAAGCATATGTGTTACATCAAGGAACAGCAAGGACTGCTGATGTTATAATAATGTACATATAAACAAAATTACTTTTATTTTTTAATTATTGATGAAAATTTATGTGTAACAGTTAAAGTCATTTTTTAGCATGTTACTTTGTCACAATTTGTGTAAATTTATTTTTAGTCTGTTAAATTACACTCTCTTTATCATTCAATTTTAGTAACTTAATCATCCCCCCCCCCCGAAAAAAATGAAATTTTATGTTTATGAGCATGTACCGTAAAGTGGACTGTGTATGCATGGAAAAATAAAAAATATTTTCATAATATAAATATTGCAAAAGGCCCGTTTATAAGGGAGCTAGATGTTTGGCTGCTTCAAATAAAACTAGAAGGGTCGAGGACGTAAAAGAGATAAAGCAGGTGTAAATGTATTTTAGGAAAATTTGGATTAAAAATTGTGATTTATAGAATGATAAATCATCATTAATGGTAATTAAGTATAATTTTAATAATCATGCAAACTAGATAAACTTAATTAAAAGAAAGCTATTAAACTGAGGAAATAAATTTTCTTCAGATGTATAATTAAAATAGAAACAAGAATTTTGTGCATGAAACTCCTTCAAGCTATGGTAAAGTATAAAAAATGATTCATTTAAAATACGCATGTGCAAGAAATAGAGTCATTTTCAAAAGTTAAGACTTTTATTGACATCTGGCAATAATCTGATTAATTTTCTTTCTTTCACATCAAGAGAGGACCAAATCTCTTTTCCTCAAACATCGAAAATGCCTGTGTATACGAAATTCTTTTGGAATGCTTTTCCCCCATGACAATTTAAATACTACAGCACTAACAACAACCTACCTAAGTAAAGCAACAACTTCTTTCTTGGATATTTTCACCCTGTGTGAAGTTTCTCTTTGGGACAGGATTGCAACTTCAGGCATCAATAGCTAAACATTTTCAGTAAACAAAGGAAAAAGAAGGTGCATTAACCCGGTGGAAATCGCGTATCACATACCCCAGTATTTAAAATACGATAAAAATAGTTTTATTTTGTTTTAAAGCTGTTTTTCTTGTTCTCGTGTATTATAAATATGCGAATAATAATTGGGTTTCAAAAAATTCATTTCCAAAATAATCTTAGAGTTAAAATTAAGATAAATGAAAATAATAAAAAATAAACATCATGCCTCTAAGTTTCATTGCATCTCTAATACACAACCCTTATTTTATTTCTTTACACTTTGAACGAAATACATTCATGTGGTCTTGTCACAGAATGTTTTCACATTTTAAACATTGCGTCCTTGGCACGAGGGCAATTTATCAGATCTTTCAGACTTAGTTGTTTCGAATTTCATGTATTCGTTTTAATTCTTCGTTGAAACTTTTGCTTTTGTTTTGCATGCAGTAGATCAGTTTCTTGGTAAAGTATTAATCTCTGATCTTTGTTCAATACTTTTTTTCATTAATTGTAATGTTAAGTCCTTCAAAAACAGACTTCTGTTTCTGGTTGGTGGATTAGCAGTTGAATGTAATATAATTCAAGCATTTATTACAGCAATATTCAGTGCAGGAAAGAAAATTACCATTGGCCATCTCCTTGTTATACTGGCAATTGAATAAGTGGCTGACATTTCATTCCCCATATCCACTGCTCCTTTAGTCATATTATAAAAACATATAATTCCTGATGTTTTATTTTCTCCAATAGTATCATCTATAGTACGATCGTTATATAATGTTGAAAGCATAAGAACAGTTTTTTTCTTTTTTAGGAACATTTGGAATTAATGTTTTATCTTTTGTGAAACCAAAAACAGTGTAGAAAATATTCCTAGCTTCATCTTCAGTTTCCGAAATGCAATCTTCATCGCTTTCAAATATTTCTAATAAATCTCACAGGCGTTGCATCTCCAATTCATAGGGAGTCATTCTTTTTACCATAATGCGGTTAGAAATTTTTAAGGTTAAGTTTAATGTCAAGTACTTTAAAATCACTTGTGAGTAGAAATATCTACTGTTACACTCTAGAAATAAATTTCTGAACTAAATATTCAGTCAGAAAAACACACGGACACGCGCTTGGGGTGTGTCATACCCCAGTTCCAACAAAATACCGATAAATATTTTTCTGAAACACACAGGCAAAGAAAAAGCGGTTCTGAAAGTCAACCACAACTAGAAACTCAGCTACTGAATGTAGCACAGAATTTTAGTTTCACAAGTTAGGAATATTCCACTTTTATGTAGTTGTGGGGTATGATACATCGCACGCGCTTTCCCGTGGGTTAAAATAACAGAACTACTTTTAGTCACTTCAAAAGAATGATTGACATGCCATTTAATAACAAATGAAAGCAATGAGTAATGCAGTAATGTGATAGGGGAAAGCACTAGGTAGGAAATTATTCGGGTGACCTGCAAATCTCTGAATGGTCAGGTGTTTGGGGTGACTTCGGCATGAAAGAGTTAAATGTTCTCAAATAAATTTTTTTGTAGATTCATTTTTGCTTTAGCTGTTTCCCAAATGACAAATGTGACCGAGCACAGAAAGTGTACTGAACTTTGTTTTCTCAATGGAATTTCTGTTCTGAAAATGCTTGAAATGTTGCAGGAAAAATTTAAGGAAAATATTTTATCAAAAACAAAATTTTTGAATGGCGTAAGATGTTTAAAGAAGATAGATGTACAACACTTAGGTGAATCATCTACTTTGACTAATGAGCAACTTGTGGGTGTGGTCAGAGTTTTGGTGCTTAGCTGTTGTTTAATAATTAAGGGCTTTATTAAGTGAGTTCCTTTGGCAGTAGGTCTTGCAGCATGTCTTTTCTCAAGCTGTTCCAAAACAGTTGAATTTTGCTCTAAAACATTAATGTGCTCAAATGGCCAAGCACATATTTTCTCAAAGCAAGTCCTTATTTAAATGTATTAATAAATACAGGGGAGGAAACAAGGATCTTTACTTCTGATATTGAAGCAACCTAGCAATCGTTATGCTTTTTTTTAATTACACAGTGTTGTGCATAAAAAATTGCTACTAACTGGCCAAAATGCAAACACAAAATATTAGTTGAGTGTTCTGCAGCAGTCGTGTGAAGTGCTGTGTATAAAATTACCTGAATTGCAATGAGATGGCTTTTGGATTTGTATCATGGTAATGCTCCTGCTCACAGTGATTTTTCATTTCGAGAATTTTTGTTAAAAACTGAAGCAGCTTTGCAAGCAAGCTGTTTGTTCACCTGCTGTGGCACTATATAACTGTTTCTTATTTCCATCATTAAAATTGCCTCTTTGTGGTCTTTATTTTGAGTTTATAAATGCAATAAAAGTAAATTCACTCCAAATTCTGTACGGGCTTCACAAACATAATATTTGTAGAATAGAAAATATTGGCATAAATGCATTGCATCTGAAGGAGGAAGTAAGATACTGGAAAGTAAGTTGAAATCATTCCTTATTAATTTTTTTCTCTCTAGTTAATGTATTAACAATTGTAATTAAGGGCTGATTTATTTTGAGAACGCATGTGTAGGAAAAGTAATTTTCATGTATCTTTTAGAAGATGAAAGTGAGACATGTTTAAATGTGACTGCTTTAATTCCGATTTCTTATATTTCTGCGGTAATTTGTTTTATTCTGCATAATTCTTTGTGAGTACTATAAAACAGTTAACTTTTCATCCTTTACTGTAAATATTCTTTTTACTGTTTATTGTGTAATTTTATTGCGTTAATTACTGTTGCATATCCTAGCAAAAGCAGGATGTAGTTTTGACTGAAAAATGCTGTAATATATGGCAGAAATGCTGTTTTCTTAAATATTATCATATCTCCAAGCATTTCATATATACCTCTCATGGGCATTCTTATTCATATTGAACTTTTAATCGATATATTTTCAACAGATCTGATTATTATGATTAGAAATATTTTATGGCCTTTTTTTAACATGATGCAAATCATTTTTAAACTTACACTGCCTAACAGTCGCATGTTTTAAAATCAAAACTATGAAAAAATCCTTTTTTTCATTGAAAATGGTTTTGTTGTACTAAAGTAAATAAAATTTTCTGTCATATGTGTGGATGTTTCATTTCCCTTATTACTACTGCCAAAATATGATTACATGTTCATTTTTTAAGGTAAATTTTATGCTGATGTTTACAGAAGTGGTTCTTGGCATGATCTACAAAGTAAAACTGGGGGGAGAGGGTATGCTGTATGAGCTTAAAGTTTTTTAGGTCAACACTACTTACTCTCTTTCCCTACTTGAGAGCTGAACAATTAAAGTATTCAATCTGAATGGGATGTCTAATTTTGTAAAGAATTGCAATCAGATATTTGTTACGCTTTACATAAACTCATTTATATGAAAATGATTTCTCATGTTTAGTTTTTTTTAAGGGATAAATAGAGAAACAAGCTGTATATGTGTTGAGATGATTAAGGTCTCTTAAAATAATGCCCATCATTGATAAATTGCGCAAGTATAAAAATATGCAACCGTCTCACTGAAAAGTTTAACTCTGATAAATCGTTTATATATGTATATAGATACAAATTTATGAATATAAAATTTGTACAGTACAAAGTCCGTAATCCAGACTAGTCGGGATTTCGGCTATTCCGAATTAGGGTTTTTTCCAGATTATAGATCATCAATTTAAATCTGGTAAGATGGCATGCAGAAATTATACAATTAAAAATATGAAATCATAATTTATAAAATAAAGAGCAATTATGATCTAAAGGGTAGCAAAATTTACAAAA